GTGGATCGAGTCCTCCTTTGCATACGAGTCCTGACCGAACTGATCTGGATCTTAAGCTCGAGCTGCCTGAACACATAGTAGCTGCCCCACAGCTAATTGACAGGGGGACATGCCAGGAGGACGCGCCGCGAAAAGTCCCAAGGGATGCGCCAGGCGACGTGCCAGGGGACGTGCCATGGGGACGCACCGCGGGACGTGCCAAGGGGACGCGCTACGGAACGTGCCAATGCATTATGGACGTGCCTCGGGACGTGCCAGGGGACGCGCCGCGCGACGTGCCAGGGGGACTCGCCACAGGACGCGCCACGGAACGTGCCAAAGAACGTGCCAGGTTGCAATGCTGAGTGAGTGTATCGATCTTGATGTACCGTGCCGAGGGCTGTGCTGTGCTGCGCCGTGCTGAATTGCGATGTGCCATGCCGCGATTGTGCTCTATAGCCTCGTGGATCGAGTCCTTCTTTGCATCCGAGTCCTGACCGAACTGATCTGGATCTTAAGCTCGAGCTGCCTGAACACATAGTAGCTGCCCCAGAGCTAATGGACAAGGGAACATGCCAGGAGGACGCGACGCAAAACGTCTCCAGGGACGCGCCAAGCGACGTGCCAAGGGACGTGCCATGGGGACGCATCGCGGGACCTGCCAAGGGGACGCGCTACGGAACGTGCTGGGGACAAGCGTTTCGCTCGAGACATCCTGTCAAAATCCTCTGAATTCCTACGCGCGGGACGCTGCACGCGCGAGACATCCTCGGAATTCCTGCGAGCGGGACGTGAAAACAAGCATTTCGCCTGCGACATCCTTTGAATTCTGGCCCCCCACGAGGCCACCGCTCGAGACATCCTCCAATTTTGCAAAACCAGCGTTTCGCTCGAGACATCCTCAATAAATTATGAAAAACAAGCGTTTCGCTCGAGACATCCTGTCAAAATCCCAAGAAATCCAAATACCCGCGCGCGGGACGCGGCACGCGCGAGACATCCTTGGAATTACTGCGCGAGGGGCGCTTTTCCGTGTCGCGGTCGGCTCTGCAAAACCAGCGCGTCGCTCGAGACATCCTCAACAAATTCTGAAACCAAGCGTTTCGCTCGATCGAGACATCCCCAACTCTGCAAAACCAGCGTCTCGCTCGAGACATCCTCAACAAATTCTGAAAAACAAGCGTTTCGCTCGAGACATCCTCAAATGTTAATTCGCCGGCCCTCTTCCCACTTGTTATTTATCGCAAAAGAAATTCGCCGGCCCTCTTCCCGTCAAACCCGGGGGGGAAACCATCTAAAAGAGAACCCTGGGCTTTTTTTTTTTTTTTTTTTTCATTTGTTTTCTTTTTTTTTTTCTTTGTTCTTTCTTTTTCTTTTTTTTTTTTTTTTTTTTTTTCAAATTTTTTTTTCTTTCAATTTTTTCTCTCAAGCCCTTTTCGCGGAAACATGATGGACCCGCGAACCCGGAAAGGGATATAGACATGTGGAGCATGGGCACGTTTTCACGATACCCAACGGGGCAACACCTCACGAAACATCCACGAGACACCTCACGAAACATCCCACGAGACACCTCACGAAACATTCACGAGGGGGACACTCGCGAAAACATCTACAGAGCACACCCTTGAAACATTCACGAAGAGGTGGGGACCCCCACGAACAGGCAACCACTCAACCAGACACGCCACGAAACATTCCACGGGGGTGCGACTGGGTGTGGTCGTGCTGGGGTGTGGTCGTGCTGGGGTGTGGTCGTGCTGGGGTGTGGTCGTGCTGGGGTGTGGTCGTGCTGGGGGGTGGTCGTGCTGGGGGGTGGTCGTGCTGGGGGGGGGGTCGTGCTGGGGGGTGGTTGTGCTGGGGCGTGGTCGTGCTGGGGCGTGGTCGTGCTGGGGCGTGGTCGTGCTGGGGTGTGGTCGTGCTGTGGTGAGGTCGTGCTGGGGTGTGGTCGTGCTGGGGTGTGGTCTTGCTGGGGTAGGGTCGTGCTGGGTCGGGTCGTGCTGGGGTGTGGTCGTGCTGGGGTATGGTCGTGCTGGGGTGGGGTCGTGCTGGGGTGGGGTCGTGCTGGGGTCTGGTCGTGCTGGGGTGTGGTCGTGCTGGGTATGGTCGTGCTAGGGTGGGGTCGTGCATTTCGCTCGAGACATCCTGCCAAAATTCCAGGAAATCGTACAAAAACAAAGGAATTAGTCGAGACATCAGCGAAATTCCTTCGCGCGGGGCGCTTTTCCGCGTCGCGGTCGGCTCTGCAAAACAAGCGTTTCGCTCGAGACATCCTCGGCAAACTCTGCGGAGCAAGCGTTTCGCCGCGAGACATCCTCAACACACGAAAAAGTGGCCCGCACACTGTGATTTATCGATCGGGATTTCAAAAACAAGCGTTTCGCTCGAGACATCCTAAAATTTTAATTCGCCGGCCTCCTTCGACCTCGTTATTTATCAGGGAAAAAATTCGCCGGCCTCCTTCAAGCAGGCACCGGGGGACATGTTTACATACTAAAAGAGAACCCTGGGCTCAGGCCCTTTCCGGGAACAAATTCTGAAAAACAAGCGTTTCGCTCGAGACATCCTCGACAAATTCTGAAAAACAAGCGTTTCGCTCGAGACATCCTTAAATTTTCATTCGCCGGCAATTCGCCGGCCTCCTTCAACCTCGTTATTTATCAGGGAAAAAATTCGCGGGCAATTCGCCGGCCTCCTTCAAGCAGGCACCGGGGGACTAGTTTACAAACTAAAAGAGAACCCTGGGCCGGAGCCCTTTCCGGGAAAAAACACCCTCGCTGCTGCTTCTGCTGCCCTTCTAGCTGTTATCTACATGCCTCCCGGCATATCCCGCCGCCGTGCCTGGGTAGTGGGTGCGCGGGTTATTGGATGCGGCCGCTTCGTTTTGGGACTTTTGGGAGCCTCTTTTGGGTCCTCGTTTTGAAGAGACAGCGCCAGTCGGGCTGGCTGGTTCGGCCTCGTTTAACGTTTGGCTGGTTCGGCCACAGGGTTCGCATGCCTCCCCGACCCCCATTTCGGTAACCAGCAGGAGAGGGGGGTCAGCCGAAGCAGCTGAGGGTGGATGGGTCAGCCGAAGCAGGTAACAGACGAAGGGGGGGCAGATCCAGCCGCGGCGACGAGGGCGTCAGGAAAGGCCGAACCAGCCGAAGAGGACCAGGAAAAAACGAAAAGCGTCAGAACCCCCTCCCCCCTCCTCCTCCCCCCTCCTCCCTCCTCCTCCCTCCTCCTTCCTCTCCTCCTCCTCTTCCCTCCCCCTCCTCCTCCTCCTCTCCCTCATTCCTCCTCCTCTTCCTCCTCGCCGAGCTCCTCCTCATCCTCCTCCTCCTCCCCCCCCCCCGGGCGCGCGGGGCGGCGGCGGGCTCGCCGGCGCCTCGGCGAGGTGGTCGACGCGACGGTCTCGACGAGACCGTCGTCGTCGTCCCCGCCTGCCGGCCCAGGGCGCGCTCAGGGCGAAGAGGAGGGGGGGGAAGTCCTAGGAGGGGAGGCAGATCCAGCCGCGGCGACGAGGGCGTCAGGAAAGGCCGAACCAGCCGAAGAGGACCAGGAAAAAAACGAAAAGCGTCAGAACCCCCTCCCCCCTCCTCCTCCCCCCTCCTCCCTCGTCCTCACTCCTCCTCCCTCCTCCTCCCTCCTCCCTCCTCCTCCTCTTCCCTCCCCCTCCTCCTCCTCCTCCCCTGCACTCCATGCAGCTCATCACAACTGCAGCCCCTGACGCCAACATGTTCTACTGCGTTAAGAACATGTTGGCGTCACTTGGCTCGGCTTGCCACTTGGCTTGCCTTGCGTAAAAAACATTGCTGGCGGCAACTTATCCTCCTCCTCCTCCTCATCCTACTCCTTCTCCTCCTTCTCCTCCTCATCCTCCTCCTTCTTCTTTCTCCCCCCTCCTCCTCCTCCTCCTGGGCCACGACGTGCGAGCGGTGCCGAAGCGTCGTGCAGGCCGGCAAGACGATACCTTCGATACCACTAAGACCAGCCCAGCAGTGGTGGTTGGGACAGTGGTGAAGGCGGTGGCGAGGACGGCGGTGGGACAATGGGACAGAGGTACAGTGGGGACAGTGGTGCGGACAGTGGGGACAGTGGTGGGAACAGTGGGACAGCTCAGTGGGACAGCGGAGGAGTCAGTGGGACAGTGGGGACAGTGGGGATAGTCGGGCAGTTGTTGGGGCCGTGGAGAAAGTGGGGAGAGTGGAACCGTGGTGGGAACAGTGGCGGGGACAGTGGGGACAGTGGGGACAGTGCGACAGTGGTGGGAGCACTGGTGGGGACAGTAGGGAAGGTGGTGGAACCAGTGGGGACAGTGGTGGTGAGGACAGTGGTGCTGGGAACAACAGTGGGGGATGTGGCGGCGACGGTGGTGGGGACCGGGAGTCGTTTGCTGGCGGTGAGTGGGGGGGGGTGGGGAGGGGTTCGAACCGGTAGTGGTCTCCCTCCGGTTTTCGAGCTGGCGTAGCGACTTCGGTTTAGCAAAGTAGAGTGCCTTATCACACTTATAGATGTAGCTGTCTCAGATGCAAATGTACTTACCGAAGCCGCAACTATACTTACACGGTGTCCCTAACCATACTTCCACAACAATTTATAATCGACATATAACCATCTTATAACTTTCATAACTTTCATAACTTCTTCAATTTCCATGCCCCTCCCCTCCCCTCCCCCCCTGTGGTTCGGCAGTGAGCCAGTAGGACGGCGAGAAGAAAGGAGGGGGGAAGGAGGAGGACAGCGATGCATTCGCTAACGCATTCCTGGGTATGAGCGATAAATTCGCTATGCGGTTCTCTGAGCGATCAATTCGCTGTGCAATTATCTGAGCGATCAATTCGCTATAAGCGATGAATTCGCTATGTGGTTCTCTGAGCGATCAATTCGCTGTGCAATTATCTGAGCGATCAATTCGCTATAAGCGATGAATTCGCTATGAGGCCCCTGCCCATGCCGCCCCCGCTGCGCCATCATTCGAAGCCGTTTGCATACGCAAGCCCGCGCGTTTTTTTTTGGGTGGGTGGGGCCGCATAGCCATGGCTGCCCAGCGCTTGCGCGACCAAGTCGAGGCCGTCGGGCGATTGCTCGAGGCAGTGCAAGGGCAGCCCTGTTTCGATACGGTGGCGGCCGCGCAGGAAAGGATGCTCGTGCAGGCTTTCGGGAGCGCGAAGCTGCAGCCCACGCAGGTGACAACCCTCTCGTCTCTCGTCGCAGCGCAACCCTGGTCCGAGGTTTCCAAGGGGAGGCTGTTGGAGAAGCTCGGCAGCATCGTGGCTTCTGGCAGCGCCGTGGGTTTGCGAATGGCTCAGCAGGATTATGAGTGCATCTTCGGGTACCTGACAGCGGGCTCGTGGCACCAGTTGGCGCGGACCGACGTGCCCGAGGAAGCGAAGCTCAACGTGCTGGTTGATGTTGCGATTAGCTTAGGTCTTCGCAACCCGACCGAAGGCACGTATCAGATGTCGACGGCGATGTGGCGCATGGCCGTGGACGGAGCCGAGACCGCGAAGAATTTGGCGTGGGCTGCAAAGTACTCGTACCTCCAGCAGACCAAGCGCGTGTTCAAGCGCCAGGCTGCAGCTGAAATTGCGGCCCTCGTCGAGGGGAGGGGGACCTAGGAGAAGGGAGGGTGGGGGAGGAGGAGGAGGAGGGGGAGGAGGAGGAGGAGGCAGTTTCCCCTGGCCGCAATTTCACCCACGAAGGTTTCGAGGCTTCCTGCGCCCCCCGTTCGGCTGACCGAGCTGCCTACGCCCCCCTCGACGTTCTGCGAGGACCACCCTGGCTTCTTCAAGCAAGTGTATGGCGACGAGTTGCCAGCTGCATGCCCCGCGCCAGAAGCCGCGATTCGCTCCGTCCAGGCTACGTACCCATGCCGCAACACAAAGCAGCAGGCCACGGGGGCGCAGATGATGAGCGCCTCGGCGTCGCAGCCCGACGTTTTGCAGATGATGCAGCTCATGTTCGATAACTTGCGGCGGGCGGACGTCGGCGCTCAGACGGGCCCTTTGAACCTCAAGATCCTGGGAGGCGGCGCGTAACGTGCCGCGGCCTCGGCGTTCGCAGCCGTGGAGGACGCTGCCCCGAGTTCTCTTCCATCTTCCGCCTCAGAAGGGGCACCGTCGCCAGCAGCGCCAACGCCACCGTCGCCAGGGACGCCTGCAGCAGCCAGCGTCGACAAAAAGAACGTGACTCCCCCCAAGAAGGAGGACGTCGCCTCGGTCACCGAGGACATCCTGCACGGACTCGTGGCCAAGGAGAAGGGGGGGGCCCGAAGCCGAAGGCAAAGGGGAAGGCAAAGGGGAAGGCGAAAGCAAAGGCGACGAAGGCTGGGGCTAAGACGACGGGCGAAGGCCACGGGAAGGGCGTCACCGTGTCACCCCACTGTTGTGTGTTTTTGTTTGTTTTATTGGGGTTTTTTTTGTTGTGTGTATCCTTTTTTTGTGTTGTTTGTGTTTGGTGTTGTGTTGTGTTTGCTGTTGCTGTTTCTGTTCAAGCCCATCAAGAAGCTGTATTTGTTCTTCTTGTTGCTGTTGTTTCTTATGTTTTCCTCGTTTATCTCTTTCGGGGGGGGAAGTGTCGTTACGCCAAAAAGGGGTGCTCGAGTTGCAAAGAGCGGCTCAGGATATCAAAGCTGCTGGGTAAGTAGCTCATAATGTGTGTAGGTTTCCTGAGGCGCTCTCGGCCGCGCTGGGTCCGCCACGCACTTTGCCAGATGTATTTCGGCCTGAGCCGAGCCACACGCCGCACGCTCATAGTCATGCTACGGTGTTTCGGACAGAGCGCCCAATGCATTTCGCTACCGCGCTTCTGTATATGGGGCCCTGGAGAGCGCATCCTAGCGTTTGGGTAAGCCGCGCGAGCGCCCCAGGGAACCCTGCCGCTCACTTTTACTCTTGTGAGGGCGTGCCTTACCGTTGCCTGCGATGACAGAAAACATGATGGACCCACGAACCCGGAAAGGGATATAGACATGTGCAGCATGGTCACGTTTTCACGATATCCAACTGGGCGACACCTCACGAAACATCCCACGAGACACCCCGCGAAACATCCCAGGAGACACCTCACGAAACAACCCTCGAGACACCTCACGAAACATTCCACGAGACACCCCGTGAAACATTCCACGAGACACCCCACGAACAGGCAACCACTCAACCAGATCGTGCTGGGGCTTGGTCGTGCTGGGGCGTGGTCGTGCTGGGGTGTGGTCGTGCTGTGGTGAGGTCGTGCTGGGGTGTGGTCGTGCTGGGGTGTGGTCTTGCTGCGGTGGGGTCCTGCTGGGTTGTGGTCGTGCTGGGGTGTGGTCCTGCTGGGGTGTGGTCGTGCTGGGGTGTGGTCGTGCTGGGGTGTGGTCGTGCTGGGGTGTGGTCGTGCTGGGGAGTGGTCGTGCTGGGGTGTGGTCGTGCTGGGGGGTGGTCGTGCTGGGGGGTGGTCGTGCTGGGGGGTGGTCGTGCTGGGGGGTGGTCGTGCTGGGGCGTGGTCGTGCTGGGGCGTGGTCGTGCTGGGGCGTGGTCGTGCTGGGGTGTGGTCGTGCTGTGGTGAGGTCGTGCTGGGGTGTGGTCGTGCTGGGGTGTGGTCTTGCTGGGGTAGGGTCGTGCTGGGGTCGGGTCGTGCTGGGGTGTGGTCGTGCTGGGGTATGGTCCTGCTGGGGTGGGGTCGTGCTGGGGTGGGGTCGTGCTGGAGTCTGGTCGTGCTGGGGTGTGGTCGTGCTGGGGCATGGTCGTGCTAGGGTGGGGTCGTGCATTTCGCTCGAGACATCCTGCCAAAATTCCAGGAAATCGTACAAAAACAAACGAATTAGTCGAGACATCATCGAAATTCCTTCGCGCGGGGCGCTTTTCCGCGTCGCGGTCGGCTCTGCAAAACAAGCGTTTCGCTCGAGACATCCTCGGCAAACTCTGCGGAGCAAGCGTTTCGCTCGAGACATCCTCAACTCTGCAAAACCAGCGCCTCGCTCGAGACATCCTCAAGAAATTCTGAAAAACAAGCGTTTCGCTCGAGACATCCTCAAATTTTAATTCGCCGGCCTCCTTCGACCTCGTTATTTATCAGGGAAAAAATTCGCCGGCCTCCCTCAAGTTGGCACCGGGGGACAGGTTTACCTACTAAAAGAGAACCCTGGGCCCACGCCCTTTCCGGGAAAAAAAAAAACAGCGATCCACTCGCTAGGCGATTCATTCGCTTGGGGATAGACAGGGTGAGAGGGGTGAGAGGGGAGAGTGATGGGCCGCTGACTTGGAGAGGGGTAGGAGGGGTGAGAGGGGTGAGAGGGGTGAGAGGGGAGAGGGAAGAGAGGAGGGTGAGAGGGGAGAGTTATGGATGAGGCCTCGACCCCTCAAGCCAACCCCCAACCCTGCGTCAGCGATGCATTCGCTTTCCTCCGACCTCCCATCGAAGCAGCGCTCCCTTCACCTCAACCCTGTGTCAGCGATGCATTCGCTTGCTCGCGGAGCGCCCCTGCGACCGTGCCTTCGCATTGCCATTTCGGCTCAAGGCCTCGGCTCAAGGCCTCGGCGGCCGCGCCAGCGACAATGGCCGACGACGCGGAGAGGTCATTGCAATCGTTGCTGTCTTTGGGCGACCCCTTTGCGCAGTTCCAGGATGGGGCCCAGGAGAGCGGGGGCGCTGGCAACGAATCGCGCATGAATCCAACCTCAAACTCAGAGCCCCGCATGAGTCCCATCTCAGACTCAGAGTCCGAGGGGCGGAGCGCCGCCGACAAGGGCAAAGGCTGCAAGGGCGGGTGGCGCGCCAGCGGCAAGGGCGAGCCCGACAGCGACGGCGACGCGGAGAACCCGAGGCGCAAGCAAGCGAGGATGACCTTCCTGTGGAACACCCCGCAGGCTCTCAAGGACGAGGAGGACATGGCAAAGCAGTTCGCCGTGCCATGGGCCATGCGCGGCCCGCCTCCTCCAAGCGAGGGGGGGCCGACGATGTGGCGCGGCAACAGATGGTCAGAAGGCGAGCGGCGTTGGAAGAAACGCGGTGGCACGTCCAGGGAGTTCTTCGAGGAGAAGTACGGCTACGGCGGCTGGGGCTGGCAAGCAGGCCACGTGCCGAAGCGGCCTTCGGACTGCAAGGGCATGGGCGGCGGCAAGGGCGCCTCTTCCAGGAGCGGCAAAGGCCAGGAGCAGAGCAAGGGCGGCGCCTTCTCCGAGCGCAGCAAGGGCGGCAAGGACGGCAAGGGCAGCAAGGGCAGCGCCCCCGAAGGCACGCGGGCGCCGCGGGCGCAGGCCGCCTGGGACCCTCATGACCTCGAGGACATTTGAGAAAAAAAAACAGCGATTGACTCGCTATGCAGTTCACAAGCGATTGAATCGCTATGCAGGTCACCTCTCTCGTCTATCTCTCCTCTCTTCGTCGCGATCCAGGCCAAAATCCCCACGCCGCCCTCCGCCGCGATCCAGGCCAAAATCTCCGCGGCGATCCACGCCACGGGCGCCGTTCGTAGGTCAAAATCTCCGCAGCGACCCAGGCCAAAATCTCTGGTCTCAGTTTTTGGGCGGGCCCTTTAGGAATTTACTGACGCCAAAAATGGGTCCCAGATTTGGCGGTCCCTTCGTGGGATGTTATTGACGCAATGAAGGCCCCCAGATTTGGCGAGCCCCTCGTGGGAAGTTACTGGCGCAAAGAAGTGCCCCAGATGCGGCGGGCCGTTCTCTCCCCCCTTCGGTCGCCTCGGCTTGCTCGACCTCCTCGCTCAGCCCCCATTCGATGCGTCGGCATCCTTGCACCCCTGCCCGTTGCATTTCCTCTCAGCGATTGCATTCGCTCCATGGGGCGGGCCGCGCGAGTAGTCATCTGCATTCGTCTGGGCTCAATCTGTTTAGAACGGTTTTCTTTCTCAGCGGCCAAGGGCCAAGGCGCGCTCGGCGGGCAGCGATGGATGGGCCGTCGGAGGCCGCGAGTTCCAGCGGGAGTGAATGGCTGTGGCGCGGCTTTTGCCCTCGCGGCGATTGCAAGAAAGCTGGCTCGTGCATCTTCTCGGACCCTGACAGGGACATCGTGAAGGAAAAGGTGGCGAACCACTTGTGGTGTTCTACCTACCACAACGAGGACAACGCCCTCGAGTGGGAGGCGGCGTTGCAGGAGGCAGACAATGACGCGTTCATTGTCTACGAGCTGGGCACGCAGAAGAGCAAGAAGCGCCCCGCGCCATCCGTGGAACCGCAGCCAGGGCGGGCCGTTCAACAGCGGTCTTCAGGACCAGTCGGCCAGTACAAGTCGAAGACAGTGGTGACGCGGGACATCACGGTGCGCAAGGGCGAGCTGCAGCAGGTCATGGATTGCCTTGACAGGTCTCTGACTGCGACGGAGCACGCCGCGACCATCGCACGCAGCGCAGCGAAGGCGTTCGAGGACAGCGCTGCTGCGATCTCGGGCGCCAAGAAGACGCTCGAGAGCATCTGCATGCGCCACGTGGGCTGAGCCACTCCAAGACGCGGCCTGCTGCCCTGCGCTCGGCCTGTCTCGGGAGCCCGCCGATTCTTTGAACAAATAATAGCACCCTCGTGACCCAACTTGAGCGATCGAATCGCTGGCTCTTCCTCGAAACCCCATTTGAGCGATCGAATCGCTGGCTCCTCTTCAGCCCGCCCATGCGCGACCCGCCAAGATGAGAGGGGAGAGGAGGAGGGGGGGGAGGAGAAAGTAAAGAGGAGGGTTGAGAGAGGATGAGGATGAAGAAGAGTAGGAGGAGGAGAAGGAGGAGAAAAACCGAGAAGGACAGATCAGAGAGAAAAGGACAAGGCCCGAGAGGGAGCGTCAATATTCGTTACAATTTTGACGCTCGTTTCTGGTGTGGTTTCGGATGCCGCATGCCCACCCACCCTCCAAGCCCTACGGCGATTGGTGGTCCAACGGTGGTCCAACGGTGGTCCAACGTGGGTGGTCCAACAGAAGGTGGTCCAACGTGGTCCAACGGTGGTCCAACGGTGGTCCAACAGGGGTCCAACGCGTTGGACCACCGTGGTCCAACGGTGGTCCAACGGGGGTCCAACGTGGGTGGTCCAACGGTGGTCCAACGTGACGTCGC